GACCGTTACTGAGGAAATAGAATATCAAGGTGATAACAAATAAGAAAACACTTTTCAACAGTCTGTCGACTCAACACGAGAAGATGGAAAAACTTGATTGCTCGGGATTTTATCGCATCAGATTCGGTAACTGTGAGCAGAAGTATATTGGTAAAACAGGAAGCCAAATTGGCCTACGAATCAAGGAACATCCTAGACTTTGCAGGAACATGGATACAAAAAGATCCGTAATAGCGACAGCGTCTAGTGTGAAGGGCTGCTCAAAGGAGCACACCACACTACATCGAAATAAACACGGTGAAAATTCTAATAGTGAAGGTGTGGTAGGAGGATATAAAAAATGTGAATAGCCCAGGGCAGAAGGGGAGATACCACAACTGTTTAGCACATGTTTGGTCAAGGGATCAGCTTCACTTGTCTTTTTGACGAATTTTTTTGTGTTGCTAAGAATGGCGGAACTTACTGACGATGCCGGCGAAATGTCTGGGAATGTACCACGTCCACGGTTCGACTTTGGAAATGATGATGCATACAATGGACTTCGGACTAGGTGCCTTTCTTTAAATCTTCCTACCAATATGATCAAGTTGCAAAAACAAGCTAAAACAACCTCTAAAGAATGTTATTATTTAGTACTAAAATTATTTTTGAGGCAAAGTTGTAAACTATAAGTGTGCAGTACAAGGAAAACCTTAACTTGCTTTATGCTTACTAAAAGGTTAGAGACTATGTGATTATGTCTGTCATAGCTTAAGAAAACCATATTCCATTCTATAAGGCTTTGAATTATTTGAAAACCCATTTTATGATTCTGCATGCATCATATAGGATATGACATGCTTTTAGGTAAGTCGATACAATGACCACAAGTTTATCTAAACAAACAAATTGCCATAATTAAATTGAACGATTTCGGCATATATCTATACAAGCGTGAGACAAAGTGGCTGCCAAATATTTCAGATTGTTAACTGGTTTTTTAGAGATGAATATGGAAGTTAAGTTATTTAAAATTTCAGGGACTAACTTGCTAATTTTTCCTCCACTATTTGACGTCTGCGCTTAGCAGCAGGAGTATCAAAGTCTAATGAATTATCTATTTTTCTGCCCTTAGCCGTCGTCCAGCTGCCTGCGTGCCTCTTGATATTTCGAAGACATGAACCGTCTTGACAATTAGAAACCGAAAGATCGTAGAAATACTGATCCGTTTGAACTTCCTGAGGGGGAAATATAATAGAAATACTTATTATACAAGATAATATGATATTGCTTCATTAAAAGATTGAAAGACAGCAGTTTGTTTTACCCGGCATGTAGGGAAGTAATCGGAGAAAGGACGCATAGATCAGATTCACCTAAAAATATTAATTTGGCTGCTATATATGCCTGCACCTATTCGTCATTGTGAGAATTGCAGCAGCTAGTACACCATTAACCAACTTCTCACCATGCTCCCTTTTATAGTAGTTTAGATATATTTTTTGATATAACACTAAGTAAAGAAGATTGCTTGGCAATATCACCAAAACGGAATCAGCTAACATGCCTTATTACTGATAGACAATGATGAGCCACTTTCCCTAAGGATGCGCAAAGCCGCAGCCTTTCCGGTTTATAAATGCTTTGTAACTCCTATGCATGAGCCGGAGCCTCTTAATACTGAATTTATTGCTAATACCAAGCATAGGCTACTGATTCAGAAATTTTAAATCACAGACATTTATAATTTTTTACCTTTATATAGAGGTAAAGATTAAAGATTGTTCTTATTTTCATTAATTTTTGTTGCCTACTCACAAAATCATTGACATTAGTTATTTTTAAGTAGGGTGAATTCAAAAATGGGTGAAAATAAAGGTCTGTGAACAAATAATATGTTTATTTTTCGTTTATAAGAAGGCTTTTGATACTACGAATAAAGCGTTTATATGAGGTGTGTTCACCCTACTTGGTTTAAGGTGATAAGGGAACTAGTAGATGAATAGTTCACAGTGAGTAGACCTTACGTTTATATTGAAATTCACAGCCCTTCTTACCCAAAAAGTATTCTCATCAAGGTGAACTGAAGTTTCGACCCCGCCTAGGCCTTAGCAACACCCCCAGCGGGACTTGAACCATGAACATGCAAAATATAACCTAGACACGTTAGCCAATACGCCGAATTGCCACGAGTACCCTTGAGTCACAGAACATATGTGAATTTCAAGGAAGGCTAAGCATCTTCCCATATCACACTTTATGGGTGAATAGAGCAAAGTTGTATTTGCTATAACACTCGACTATATTACGTATTTTTCATTGATAAGTAGGTTTTGTAGACTATTAGTAGATCAAATATATAGAATGAATTATCGGTAAAGCAAAGTCGTATTTGCTATAGCATTCAAGTGTGTTACTTATTAGTGTTGATTGGACAGAAAATTCGTCAAGGGTATAGCATTTACTTGATAAGTTGTAGCTCTGTACTAGCGATGGCGCCTCTCACTGACGATGCGGCGAAATGTTTGGAAATGTACTTAGTCAATGGCCCGATACTGGAAATCACAAATGCTATTGCACAAGACACAGAACTAGGAACGTTCCACATGGTCTCTCCCACACTACGACCAAGTTTCGAAAATGAAACCGGACCAGAACTAGAAAGCCAAAGAAGACCGCAACCAAACAGAAGGTTACACCATCTAAATCTTCATATCTACGATCTATGCTACTTATTTTTCGTTTATAGGTAGGTTTTAGAAACTACTAGTAGACCATATAT